AGATACGGGGGTGCCGTCAAACCTTGCGCGGTAATCGACTCCCAGCCCATGTCTTTTATGACTGTGGGTAGGAAAACCGGCATTGAAGCAAATGCAACATTGCAAGAGAAGAACATAAACGCTGTCAGGTAGGCCTTTGGGTCTTTCAGAGTCTGAAGTACCTCGCGGAAATCGAGACCTCCTCTTTTTCCTTGGCCTTGGTACTTTTCATCATCCTTGTCTTGGTCTTCTTTCTCCTTTTCTGATCTCAGTCTCATTACTGCAACCTCACGCTGCCTTGGACTGAGCCACTTTACAAAACCCGGCCCGTCTGGGATGACATCCCAGGCCCAGACAGCAACCAGGACAGACGGAAATCCCTCCACCAAGAATAACAATCGCCATGGATTTAGCCGGGTATGCTCTCCGATCTTGGTGATGCCATAGGCTAAAGCGCCAGCAAATGATGCCGAGAGGGGGCTCGCACTGACGACGAGTCCGGTCCGAAAGGCGAGCTCACGTCTGCGGTAAAAGAAAGACAGGTAGAATGGTATGCCCGGAGCGAAGGCAGCTTCACTGAGACCAAGCAGAGCTCGCAGTACAAAGAGGAAACCGAACGAATTCGTAACTGCTTGGAGCGATGCTATGATGCCCCAAGACAGGACACACAAGGAGATGTAGATGTGTGGCGGTACAACGCGATACCTATTCACGTTTAGCGACACATCAGTTTTGGGACGAATTGTACGGACATTAATATCATCCATTCGAAGATAATGTAGGTGATATAAAAGGCCCATAGAAGCCACTCATATTGAGCAGGGCTGAGCTTCAAGTCTTCTGGAAGGCCAGCTATACGTGCATTACCAATGTCTGGCATTCTTCGTCAGCATGAACGCGGTTTGACCAATTCCCATCATACGCGCACCTGCTATGGAGATAGCCGCTGAATCTTTCTGGGTCTAGGATCTACTCACTCGACCGATCCAAGAACGCCAACATGTAGAGGAAGGCCATGAACACAACTAGCCTCCGATCTAGCTTCTTCAGGACTGTACGGTCCTCGTCTGGGGTATAGAGTTCATAACTTTGAACTGAATCGATCGAGGGGCGACGCCCACTAGGTAGCAGACCGTCGTCTTCTTCACCTTCCAGCTCTTCTTTCGACACGGGCTCCTGGTGTGGGGAGATTGTTTGTAGTTCGAACGAGTTTGGCTCACGCATCACAGATGGGCTATCGGAGGATTTTGAAGACCGAGTCGAGGGCGTAGCCTGGGGCGAACTGTCACTAGTGCTTGGAGATGGTTGTTTAGGTCGCTGACGGGACGAAGAGGAGGACATGGTTGGCTTTGTTTGTGGTAGGAAGAGGGGTGCAAAGGCCAAAGAAAGGATCACATTGAATAGGGAACGTGGCTTGCATAAGCCGACAGTTCCGAAATCTTACTATCGCACGGATTTGTAGATGCCAAAAGTGTAATCGAAATGATCGCAATCCTTGTCCTTGTGTTCTAGCGATGACGCTGCGGGGCCCGTGCGGTTACCCCACAATTCAGGGTCACTTCCCTGATCGACATTCGCGTCGCACATTTCATTACGCGTAAAGTTATGAAATCCCATTCAGCATTGTCCTCTGACAGTCCCCCTATAGATTCAATGCCAGAAACTCCAAGAATAGCTTCTCAGATTGTATTTTAGAAAATGTTTGATGCTTTCCATCATCTCTTGCCTGATTTGTCTTGTTACCAATGGGAATGCCGTGTATATTTGAGCATGTGTCAATAGTATAACATTTTCTTCGCCCTTATAGTCGGGGAAGAGCCCCGATAAGTGTGTGTGGTACCACCAGGACTTGATTGTACCACTAAACATTGAGACATTCGAGCCTCTACGAATACATTTCAGAATGCCATTGTCTAGGGTTGCCATTCGAACGACATAGAAACAAACATCCAAATGGTATAATGCAGATCATAGATATGGCGGAAAAAGAAGGTAATAATCATATTCAAAAGTCTGGAGGAACGCCGGTCCCTTTTGATCTGCGAAAGTGCGTCTATTTTGGCAATTGCCAGTCCTTGTAGCTCCACTTCTCGGACACCGTATACTTCTTCTGCTTTGCATACGGGATTTGTCTTCTGGCTTCGACTTTGCCCTGCAGCAGCATTGTCCTAAAACGGTCCTTGAGAAGATTTCCCTCTGGCTTGAGAAGACGTAGCGAATCTCTCAACTCGTCTGGAAGCACAACTTCGAGTGGAGCTTCTGGCAATCTGAGTAAAGTTAGCAAACAGCGCGGTGTGAAAGTGAGGAGAAAATCTTACGGAGCCTTGCCAAATTGCTTTTTCCTAAGCTCAATTTCCTCGCCATCATCTTCTACTGCCTCAGCGTTCTGCTTCTCAAGAGCCTGGCGTACAGCAGCTCTTGCCTTCTCCTTTTCTTCAACACTCTTCGCTAGCCTCTTGACCTCTTGAAGTTGCTGTTCTTTTGCCTTCATCTTGGCCTCGTGCTTGGCCTTCCTTTCGGCCTCTTTCCTCTTCTTGATCTTGTTCCTCTGGGATATGGTTTTCCTCTCTGGCCTCTTCTTCTTTACCTCCTTGTTCTCATTGTCACTGAAGCCTTCCCACTCGCTTTCCCAAACGCTCTCTTCGCCAGAGTCTGATTCCGTCTCAGCGGCCGCCCGTTCCATACGCTCAGCCTCCTCACGAGCCTCTTCTAGGCGCTTCTTCTCGGCCTCGACAACCTTGTCAGACTCGCGCATGAGCTCATTCTGCCAGTCTTCCAGTAGAGGGTTGTATGACTTTCCGCCAGTCGGTTTACGGACTGCTGGGATGGGCTTGCCGGTCTTTGCTTGGGAGATAGGTGCGTGCTTGAGCGTTTTCGGCTCGACTTTTGGCTTCTTCTTTTCCAGGTATTCAAATCTGGGGTCTTCCTTGACTTCTTGTACCGCCCATGGGTCATACACAGCGTCACTAGTTTGCACTACATCTTTCTTGACCTGTTCGCCGCCATAGGCAATGGCTCTTAATCTGTCGTATTCCTTACTTGAAACCTTGGCCTTCTTTCTCTTGCCATCGTCGGCAATGTCCGAGAGACGCTTCCTGGTCGAGACGGCGGGAACGGCAGAGCGTTGGGCGAGGATCTCGTCAACCTTGAGAGGCTTATGACGCTTTGCGATAGACTTTTTGATCTCGGCAGATCCAAGGGTATCGACTGCGAAGAGTTCATCGGCAGGCTTTTCCGCAATGACACCACTGCCGTTTGTTAATACAATGCAACGCCTGTGGCCAGCGCGAGACATACCCTTGGATTATCTGCTCTCGTACTTCTTCAAGGCCAGACTGGATTTGCGTGACATCGACATTTTTGCGCCAAGCCTTCTTGCCCTTGCGACTAGGCTGCTTGTGCTGCGCCGGTGCGGCTCCTGAGTCTGCCATTGCGTCTTTCGCGTAGTTTTGCGGGCAAGTCGTGGGGTTGTTGGTTGTCGCAAAAAGTTCGAGCCAAAATTCCGACCAACGCACGCACGGACATCCTGGCAAGACCCACCCGGTACCCCTGCGCCTCTCGGTAGTCGGTGTTGGCCAGAGTACAGGGTGCGAGGCCTCCAGTTGGACCAGCACTCCTTTCCGGACACCGCACTTCGCCAAGATACAGAACTCGGAGCCCTGATTGCTGTGTACACGCCTAGTCCTTCGCTTTTGTCTTCTTCTCTGGCCTCTCTCCCATATCCTTCGTCATGGCGCAAGCGGGGTATTCGAATCCGCTGAAGAAGTTCAAGTGAGGTGTCCTCCGCAACGCACATGAACCCTGTATACTGATTGCCTGTAGGCTTGTGTTCTTGGGTGAACAGAGTGGTATGCATGCTTCATTCTCACACAAACATCCGCCCATGTATGCTGACCAAATGCCTAGTCGGCAAGACATCTTTGATTACCCGGTTCATGTACGACTCGTTCGACAATACCTACCAAGCGACCATTGGCATCGACTTTCTGAGCAAGGTGCGCTTCCCACCCCCATGACACCAAAGCGTGCTCTCTAGAAAATTCCTGACTGGAGCCCCCAGACCATGTACCTTGAAGATCGAACAGTCCGCCTACAGCTGTGGGACACTGCTGGCCAAGAACGATTCCGCTCGCTGATTCCCTCGTACATCCGCGACTCTAGCGTAGCCGTAGTTGTGTACGACATCACAAACAAGAAGACGTTTGAGAACACAAGGAAGTGGGTAGACGATGTGCGAGGTGAGCGAGGCAACGATGTTATCATTGTGCTTGTAGGAAACAAGACGGATTTGAACGACAAGCGCGAGGTCACCACAGCCCAGGGCGAGGAGGAGGCCAAGAAGAACAACCTGATGTTTATCGAGACTAGCGCAAAGGTCGGGCACAATGTCAAGGCATTGTTCAAGAGAATTGCGCAGGCGTTACCGGGCATGGAGGGCGAGGGCCAACAAGGGCAGAGTCAGAGTATGTTGCAAAGTCGGCACGTGAACAAGTGCCATGCTAATCCGCTTGGCAGTGATCGATGTGAACATCAACCCCAGCCAGCCCGCACAGGAAAACTCATGCTCATGTTAGAAATGTCACGACCCATTCACCAATCGACCTTGGTTCATTCGTTCACAGCATTCTCTTTTTTTGTCTTGTTCTCATTATATCTGGGGGTCTCTTGCGAGTCTGCGCAAGTCATTATCAGCAAGGCGTTTGGACACGGGCTACATGCATCTTTAACGTCGGAAACGTGTATTCTGTAATATACCAGGGCGTATCCGTGCGTGCCATGGCATGACGTCAATGGAGCGACGCCCGGCGCTGTAGGATTATGTATAAGCACTCGAAGCCCTCCCATGCCAACCAATTGTGCCATCCAGGTGCATCGTGCTGAACCGGAACGCCAACCGTGAGATGGACCACATGGCGCCATTACATATACAGGAATATTACATGGGGTCGTGATCAGATGGAGAGGGGTTCCATGAAAGCTTGCTGAATTTTGATCAAAGTACTAGTGTCGAAAGCGACGTTTTACTCGAGATCGCCTGCTGAGCCCGCCTCAGACGGTGTCTTGCTGCCGCCGACCGGGATTGAAGTGTCCACGGCGATCATCTCGGCTAGGATGTCTAGAACCGGCTGTGTAGTGTTAGCAAAAATCGGAGCGCACAAGGTGGCGAAAAGGAATGTACCTTGGGGACAGTCTTGTCGTAAATGTTGATCAGTTCCCTGGGGTTGGGGTAGACCTTCAATGCGCGGTAGAAGCACAGCGCAGCCTCCACGTTATCCGCACCTGCCATACAATTAGCACCACACCCCGCCAAGACCACGACCGTGACCACAATGACTGCATACCCTTTTGCACCATTCCCTCTCCCTGGGCAACCTCTTGCATAAAGTATGCCTCGACCTCCTCAGGGTCCTTGGGGAAGCCCTCATCGTTTGCGCGCTCGACCGCCTCCCGGATGGCCTTCTTCTGCTCGGCGCCCTGTGCTTCGGCCTCCTCCTTGGCCTGGCGCTCTGTCCGCTTCGACTCCTTCTTGAGTTGCTTGCGGAAATTGGGGTCGTTTCGTCGCTTGTAGTCGAAGTAGGCGGCATATGCGAGGAGGCCTGTGATGATGGTGCCGGCGCTAATAGCCGCAATGGTGGAAGGTTTTAATGACGAGTTGGACATGATGGCGGCCGAATGCGTGGGATTGAAGAGCGCTTGGTGGCGGAGAAGGCTCGGCGGTACACCTTGGAAATGGAGGAGGGATGGCGGTGGTGCGTGAGTGTGTGGTGTTCAACTTTTTCTCCAAGTTCAGGGAAGGCACGATCCGACATGGTGGAGGGTCCGAGCTCACACGCTCGCCGCGGCCCCATGCACGGCATGCATGATGCACTTGCGCTTACCTGTCACGACCACCTCGACTAATACCTCGACTACTACTACTACTTCTGCTGCTGCCACTGCTGTCACCATCCCCCCCAAAGGCAGCATGTCGGAAAAGCAAAAGGGCATCTCCCTTCGCAAGAAGCGGGGGGACAAGAGCAAAAAGGCCCCGCCCGTCATCAGCGCGCCGCGTCAGATTAGCGCGCCTATGCCCGTGGCCGTCGCTCCATCTTCACTGCCAGGCTCAGGACGCCCTTCGAATGAATCCAGCAGATCTAGGACGAGACAAGATGCTCCGCCTCCGCCTCCGCAAGCAAACCCACAGCGGCCTGATAAGACGGCTGCTTTGGTCAAGAGGAGGTACTCGCAAAAGGTCACGACGAACCCTCCCGACTTCAGGGACAGAGCGCCTATGCCTCAGATGCCTGTGCAGTACCGGCAGGAAAGGGAGCCGAGCCAGACGAGAGAGCCCAGGCAGCAAGGCATGTCGAATGCGCCCAATGGGTCCAATGGGCGGGCGTTGCAGGTCGACCCCCGCGCACTCAGAGACCCCAACTTGAAAGTAGAGCAATGTGAGGCGCACATATTAAGGGAATATGTACAATAAAGTATTGACTGCATTCAGATGTATCCACTATCCTCGCAGATGCTTCCGAAGCCGACATCAACCGCTACCAAGACGAACTACGCAAGACCAAGCACCGCACTTCCCTTGATCTCCAGCACAACGTATACCAGAACCGCACACAGTTTATCAAGATCAGTAAAGAGGCGGAGAAGCTCAAGGGCGAAATGCGAACACTGCGCCAGTTAATGTCCGACTTGACTACCACACTTGAGCAGACAGCATCGGCCACTGGCGCCAACAACGATGCTGCAAGCAACAGGAGAGCTAATAGAAGTTCGATTGGCGATCTTAACCAGCTGCGAGCAGGTCAATTGCAACAGTTGTACAGGGATGTCGAAGGCTCGCAGAAGTACCTACCTCCCATACCCGGACGATACATAGTGTGGAAGTCAGGGAAATGGTTCGAACTAGACTCTGCAACTTTGAAAGCAAGAAGACGAGTCAGGTTGCTCCTCCTGAACGATCACCTCCTGATTGCGACAGAAAAGAAGGCCCGCAACGATATCCCCGGGCAGCGTGAGGGCAATCGAACAAACATGGAATTTACTGCGCAGCGATGTTTTCCATTACTAGACACCCATGTTACAAGGACACCAGAAGAGCGCATCATTATCCGTGCGGGCGCGGAATCATTTACCTATGATACCAAGAAAGAAGACAGTGGTGACAAGTCCGCTTTCGTTGCAACCTTCCGCAAAACTAAGGATGACTTGCGTAAGAGTCAAGAAGCCGATGTGCAAGAAAAGGACCGGACCCAGGACTCGTACAGCCACCTGCTCTCTCGTGACCCTGCACTCATGAACAGGACAGAGCTTCTCGATAATCTTTCTGATGGTATCAACAACGAGCAAGCCAACACATTTATAGACGTAGATGGCCAGAAGCGAAATGTTCGTTGGGTGGAAAGCCAATTGGATGACTTGGACATTGAGATTGCGCTGCAGCATTTCGAGGAAGCAGTGGTAAAAGTCGATCGACTTAAGTCACTTGCGAAGAATATTCGCGGCAACGAAATGGCAAAAGCCATTGTAACATACAAGGTCAACGAGCGAGCTGCTAAATTGGCAAATGTGCTGGTCAAACACATGGTAGAGCACAACAACTGGTTCTCATCTGTACGGCAGCACGTCAGCTGGGTTGTCCAACTAGGTTTCGAAGACAGAGCGCGCGAAGATTATCTCGAGGCTCGCGGTAACCTCATTAAGACTCGCTCACGGTTCGTTTACCCCTCTTTTCTCTCTCCTTTTATAATCTGTTGGCTAATGCTTCTTCACAGTCAATGCGTCTTCGAAGGCAATCTACCAGACTACATCTTCCAAATCTCATATATCTACTTCACCATCATCAAAAACACAGTCGACATGTTCCAGCGCTGTTTCCCCCAGCAACTCATGTCTGCCTGCGTGAAATGGGCCAAAGAACATATTGACCAGTTCAACGTCCTGCTCAAGCGGCAGCTGAGCAGTGTGGAGGAGGGCGGGAACGTGTGGAATGAGTGTCTGAGGTTGGCGCATGAACATGCGGAGATGCTGAGGGACGTTGGGTTGGATTTTACGGAGTTGGTGGGGAGAGGGATTGGGGAGGAGGAGGGGGAGGATGCGAAGGCGCCAGTGGGGCTTGGTGTGTCGTAGATGTGTTGGGAATCATGTAAATAGCGTAATGGGACATATGAAATGTATCGCATTTTGTGAAATCGGCCTTGATGCGGTTGTGATCATTTCCAAGGTAAGATGCGACAAAAGAGGGCCCGGTTGAAATTGAGCACAAACAATGCATAGCTACCTGTACCACGTCTTCTCTTGTCAACGATGATTACTGAATTGCGGGTAGTAGGAGTGTCTGAGCCAAACTCTCTTATAGTTAAACGCACACACACGCATGAACGAACTGCTATACTATAGTGAGGCTCAAGTCATTAATCAACGTTTCGGTCAGTATCGAGGTTAAGGCGAAAGCGCGAAGTCTACAAATTGGATTAAGAGGGATGAGGATATGCTACACCGATCATATGGAAAGTTAAGATATCACGTCGTGCTGGTGTGATAATTTTACGCTACATGCGATAGACGAGACACTGTTGTTGCGATAGCTAAAAGGAACATACCATCGAACAACATGGTCTGTTTTCTTATATATCTAGCCCTCTAATACATTCTATTCATAAAAATCTCTCAAGACGTAGTCTTTGGGTTCTGGTCTAGTCGTGTCGCAATGGCAGCCTACTGACAGTCTGCCGCTGGTCACAAACGCCTCTGTCTTCACTAACCTTCACTTTCACCTCAACGTTATTCGACGTCACCTTCTAGAACATCCTTGAAAGCCTGCCAAATACCGCGCTAATCGTAACTGCATATCACGTGTGGTTACTAAGCTGTGGGAGTCTGCCTTCACTAGGGATATAAGGACGACTGTGAGACTTCCCTTGTCGCTCACCTCACTTGCTCGAAGACTCTACTCTCAACATTAATACAGTAAGCTGCGCACCTTATCACCAAACATCTACCAAACAAGCCAACAAGACTCAAAATGCCTTCGGATAGCGAGAACATCACCTATCTGTATCAGGTCTTGACCCACAATGGCCCCCCGACTGTAAGTCTTACCATTTCCTCTGCAGAAGTGAGAAGGCATCTATAAATAGTCGCAATTCAGGCATAAACAATGTCGTTAACTTGCAACAGATCGACTGGGAAGCCGTCAGTGCTGCCCTTGATCTGAATAAGGGCGCAGTAATGAAGCGCTGGTCCCGCCTCAAGTCAGCCGTGGAGAGACAGCAAACGTCTAGCAGCTCTTCGTATCCCTTCCTCTGGCTCTGCGCTAAGCACAGCACCCGCACGAACGTAAGTTATGCTACACATCACCTCAAAAACGTAAGGAAGAGTACATCACTAACAGCAGGATAGCCTATCAACTGGGAAGTCATCGCCACAGCCTGCAACACTACGACTGGTGCAGCATCCAAGCGCTACTCTCGTATGAAACTGGCGTTCGAGAGGGGTGACGCTGTACCTAGTTCTCCCGTTAAGGCCTCTCCTGCTAAGACCAAGGCTGCCTGCAAGCCCGTTACCAAGGACGAACCTGGTGCTTCTGAGAATTTCAAGACATCACCCAACGCGAAGCGCAAGCGCTCAGTTCTCAAGACCACCACTGCTCTTGACGATGAAGATAAAGAGTCAGATGTCAAGCCAAAGCGTGGCAAGCGCAACATGACCAAGAAAGCGGCTGTCAAGGAAGAGTACGAGGATAGCGATGCGTTCTTCAGCGTTGAAGAGCCCACCGGAGCCATCACTGAAGCAGCGGATGTCAAGTCGGAAGAGCATAATAACTTGCTTCCGGCCGATGACGTGTGCGCTTGAACAAGGCTGGCTAGAGGGAAAGATACTTGGGTGATATGGATGGAATCTGCAAGGAGTGAGAGGTTTCCAAGGCATTATGATTGGTATCAGGGTTCCTTATAGTCGAATGAGGGGTTGACTTTGTACGGGAGATTGGTATTCGAAGTGCTCTGAGTACCCAACTATCTCGGCCGCCCCTAATAAATTCATAATTTCACATTTTCGTTTTCACTGTCCATGAACCTACGGCGTCAGAACCAACTTTCCAGTAGTCTTCCGGCCCTCAATATCCTGAGTCGCCCTTACAATATCCTTCAAAGGATAAACATCGTGAATCTTGACCTTCAACCCGTCCTTCTCAATAAACTTCCACAGCTCATTCGATGCTTCTAGAACTTCCTCGCGCGTAGCGAGGTAGTTGAAGAGCGTGGGTCGGACGAGCTTGATGTTCTTTGCTGCAAGACGACTAACAGTTGCGTCAGTCACTATTTCCACAAAAAGGACGAAAAGAGCAAATTCACCTAAGAGCAAAATTGTCCACAGGGCCAGATGCGTTACCAAATGAACACATAGTACCCTTCCTCCTCACCACAGCAAGCGAGCTGTCGAAAGTAGCCTTGCCAACTGAGTCAAAGACGGCATGTACACCCTCCCCTCCCGTAATTTCCAGGACCTTCTTCACGAAAATGTCTCTGTCTTCCTCATAGTACTCAAGCAACACCTCAGCACCATTTTCCTTTGCGAGATTTCTCTTCTCCTCCGTACTAGCTGTCGCAATGACTCTTGCGCCAATCGCCTTCAGTAGCTGACACAACCACAATCCGACACCACCGGCCGCAGCTGTAACAAGGATCCAGTCGCCCTTTTGCACAGCGTACGCTTCACGGATAAGAGTTACAGCGGTTAGCGCTTGAAGCAAGGAAGCAGCAGCCGTCTTAGTAGGAATAGAGTCTGGCAAAGGAACCGTCGTCTTCGCTGGCGCAGCAACGTATTCCGCATAGGCCGATTGACCCATGTAGGCTACTCGTGCACCCACTTTGAGGTCGGCGGGTGTATTGGAGCCGGTTGCAGCAATAATTCCTGCGCCTTCGCGACCCAGGATGTAAGGGAAGTGGGTGGGTTTGTAGACTCCTGAGCGGAAGTATCTGAATACGATATGAGCGGCAATCTTGCGGAGATACCATGATAAACTCACGTATCGATGTAGTTGATACCAATGAACTCATTCTTAACGAGTACCTCTCCCTCCTTGGGCTCAGGAACCGGCACATCGCTATATTGCAACACATCCGTCCCACCCGTCTTCTCAATATACACCGCCTTCATCGTCTTCGGTATGGACGCCATAGTTCTGAATCCGGTTATCCTCGGGCTCACGTGCGCACTGATAGCTGCGAGTCTCGTCGCTGGAGATGTCTGTCTGAAAAGTAATTGGGCAGGGCGCACAGATTGCAGCGCAAAGATCATAAAATCGGAACTCAGGAATTGATGAAGGTTCTGGAGGCTTGGTATTTTTGTCTTGGAGGGATAAACGCTTGGGGGGGATAAATACATACACGGCTACTATTGCCCCGCCCCCCACACTCCCCCGCTCCCTGCAGCTATCACGTCACGTCACGATACGATTGTCTTATTATTCAGCGGAATTTCTTGTATGAGGGAATTGAGGTGACTGGTATACGAATGGAGTCTAGTATGGTGAATCATCTCCCGACATGTAGTACTTGTCAACGGTGCATGTCACTTAAAGGGCGTATGGGGTTGCCGATTGAAGGGGGAGGTGGGGGGAGACCCACGCCGATTTCGCTCGTGGAGTACAAAGTGCGTCTTGTTAAGCAAACAACGCCACAGACCGTCTTTAAGCTCGGTTCGCAGAATGAGCAACCTTCCCGTTTACCAGAGACAATGCATGAACTGGGGTACCCTGGCTAAAGACAGTTCTTGTTGTTGTTTTTTGTCTTATCGCCTTTACGTTGCGCTCGCGCGATTCTCGGGGTTTTCACTGCGATACTGTAATATCTCTTTTGAACGCTCGGAATAGAATCGGTATTGATAGAATTGATATTCGGACGAATACAGGGTCATATGCTAACCATGCTCTCGACTTTTCACAGTGGTGGTGGCCAAGAAACCCATGCAAAAAGCCTCTGAATCTACACGGACATGCGCGAGGTAGTTGAAGTGCTAGCATGAATCGTATCCAAGACAGAAGTGTGAGCTTTTTTCTTTCTTTCTGGAAAGAGCACTTTGGTCAAAGTAAGGTCTGAATGCCGTGGTCTCAATCAGTATACCGTACCGTGTCATGAACGGATTGTGTTTTCTTAGAAACAATCTGTACATTCAGGTGAGCTTCAGGTTGCGACATCTCCTTCCCATGTCCGTATATGCTTCTGTCTTTACCTCAACTGTGGCGTCTGCGTTGCGCCCTGCCCTTGTGACGAGCTTAGCTTTACAAAAGGTCTGTCTAGTTTCATCTGTCGATAGTTTTCTTTTATGTTGCCAAGAGATGTACACAGGGGAGGTGTATTTTGGTGGTAAACCTGCAAGACCATACCTCTAACCGAAGCTCGTCTACGCTCCTTACGTTGGGTAAATTCTCCAGATACGGAGAGACATCACAAGTAGCAAACTTACACTGGATCACGACATCTTCTACAATGGCACTTTTCAATACTTATAATCAAAAGGTTGGCCATTTACTCAAACCAACATCTAAGCACACTGCTCCGCTACTGCTAAAGCCATAAGAAAACTCGTTGTCTATCAATTCATCTCATACTCTGTTCCTGCAACATTCACAACGAACTCGAAGCCCTAGCGTACACATTGGGGAACGACAACTTCATACAAACTTCAGGATGGTAACAAACAAGATAGAAGTCATTGTTACAGGTGAGACTTATGTTCTGCACAATCCGCTCATACTGACATATAATAGCAAGCCGAATTCCAGCCAGGGCATAATTACATTCCAATGTGCTCGATAATTAGCAAGCCGTCGCTAACACAACAACATAGCATCAAGTTAATGTACAAGAAATGGTTGCCCGTATCGAAAAAAGCGTAAGCGACGAAGAAAAAAACAAGACAGCGCTGAGGACTGCGCCTCACACAGAGCTTGGTGTTGATGATCACGTAGAGCTTGGTGTTGATGATCATGTAGAGCTTGGTGTTGGTGATCACGTAGAGCTTCGTGATGATGATGTCAACTGGAAGAAAACGTACAAAGGGCTCAGGAACCTTATGTTGAGTACTGTGTGGATCGCTATCATCGTGATAGCAATTAAATTGTAAATATCCATAGCCAATTCCTAGACACAGAATAGAGTAGGGTGCTTCGAGACGTCACGAAATTCTTACGTAGATACGCGCTCGCTTGTCCCACCAACACATCAACCCGCGTGTCAAGAACCAAGTCTTACCAGCCCCCACTACGTCATCGCCTCACACATGCAAATTGGGCAAAACATCATATCCTAATTGCGCATTCTCCACCCTGCAAACTAACGAAAAAGTACATTATTGCAACCATATCCTTTCGAGAGAAAAATTGTTATCGTCAAAAACATTTATTGTACTCCGCTTTTCAAGATGGGCGCGTTCCTATCTTCCATCATCGCGCCCATCGCCCTCCCCCTAGGCTCCTTCCTCGCCATACCCATGTTCAGCTCGTGGTCTACAGGCTTAAACCTCATATTCCTTTCTGTCGCATGGACAACAATCGCTGCATCTTATTCGCCTCTGCAATTGGAACTCGTTGCTCCCTTCGTCCTGCGACTATCACTGTACATCATACCCAGCCTTATCTTTCTTATCTTCGACATTGGCGTGCCTAGTCTTGCGGTCGAGTTCAAGAGCCAGGGGAAGTGGGGAATCCCGAGTAACCAAAGAGGTGGTGCGAGAGCAGCGAGAAGGGTAGTGGCTTGGAGTTGTGCTAATGTACTGCTTACGGTTGCGCTGCAAGCAGGGATTGAGTTTCTTGTGACTGATGTGTTCCAAATGAGGAGCCTACTGCGCATCAAGGGCAGCAGATGGGGACTCAATCACTTGCCGAATCCTTGGACCATGCTAAAGCACGGCAGCATTGCCTTTGTGTCGCGAAACGTGAGTTGGCTTTTCCGTTTTCTGCAAGTCAACTTATACTGATAGTCAAATCAGATCCTCCAATACTACATCCACACTCACCTCCTGCATTCACCCACTGGCGGGGCCCTGTCAACACTCCACCAAAACTGGCATCACAGTATCCGGATTCCTTACTCTTTTGTGGCAAATTACGACCATCCCATCTGCCATCTTTTGCACCGTTTTCTTCCTCTGTACCTTCCCGCAATCATATTGCGAATGCACATCTTGACCTACCTCATCATGGTTGGACTCTTCAGTCTCGAAGAAACATTTGTGTACTCTGGCTATAATGTCTTACCATCAACCATCATGTTGAGGGGCATGGCACGTCGTGCTGATGCGCATATGATGAGTGAGGGGGAAGGAAACTACGGATGCCTGGGTGTGTTAGACTGGTGTCATGGAACGACCTTGGGTAAGGATGTCATGGAGGACCTCAAGGCAGAAATGGAAAAGCACAATGTGGAAGCCAAGGCAGGAAAGGCTATGGACGAAGCAGGGAATGCAGCAAACGGACTTGCGGGGAGACTTGGAAGATCCAAAAAAGGTAAAGGAAGAAAGTAAGTTGCACATCAACACAAGGTGGAACACGAAAAGAGGCATTGAAATTGGCGCGATTGGTCCTTGGGGCATGGGTTCAGGTCGGTTGTAGTCGTTTCTGATACCTTTACGTCATAATCGGATGGAGCTCTTGTAGCAGCCGGCGCAGTCATCGGTCGAACAATGTCAATGTGTCTGTAACTCTATTCCATGCATCAGTACTCGATTACCGCCCTGTATGTACCGCGCCAATTGAACGCCCAACTATGACATCACGCAAGCAGAGACCAAATGTTCACTTCTGGACCGTCTCAGATTCGCTTGCTCGTTATAAAGTCTTATGGTAAATGCCTTGGCGGTATCCTCCATGAAAAAAATTGGCTGCCATGCCGCTGCGGTTCTTGATCCTCGCTAGTACGGCTGCAGTATGCCGAAGTCATCTTTCATCCCATGCACTGAACGCCGAATGCCCGATCGTTATCCGTCGCTTAGAAGACCATCGCGTGAGGCCTGTCTGAGCTGCGGAGGCTGAAGCTGGCACCGAGGTAGTCCGCGAGGTGGGCTTCCTTCTTGATGGTGGCCAGGAGGGCCTTGTCGATGGCCTTCTGGTCCTCGACACGGTCCTTGGAGGTCTCCTTCTTCTGTTGCGATTGTTAGTATCGTCGCATTAGAGCGCTCATCGTAGTTACGCACCTCGGGCTTCTCGCCCTGCTTGAAGAAAGCGTCCTCGCCAGGCTTGTGGGGGGCCTTGTCCTTGGTGAAGTAGCCGTCTTGGCTGGCCTTCTCGATAACCTTCTCGTCTACGCCTGCAAGGTCGACCTTGGTGGAGGTAGCGATGACATAGCGGGCGTTTACTCGGCGGAGGGGAACACCGTTAACTTTGAAGGGACCGGTAACAAGGAGAACACCCTGGGCAAGGTGCTTGAGGACAACGACGCGCTTGCCGCGGAAGCGACCAGCAAGGAGGATGACGACGGTACCGGGCTGGAGAGACTGGCGAACCTTTGCAGGGCGGACAGTCTTGCGGGCCTTTGGTCGCAGTTAGCGGAGCTCCAGAAGATGCTCTATTCTCCCAAGTTCCATAATGGCGCACCCGCTGCACGCAGGCACATTGATTCGTTTCCCGTCTCTTTGCAATTCTCCGCTTTGCCTTGACGCTCCCGGTTCTATCGCGAACGTACCTTCTTGGGGACGGCAACGTCCTCAGCAGGGTAGTACTTGCTGGCCTTCTGGCTGTGGTGCGGTATCGACCTCTCCCCCTTGGAGAACTTCTTGGTGGTGGGCTTCGTGTCCTCTTGTGTGGCCGCCATTTCGTTTCGCTGTGGTCGTTAGTGCTGGTCGGTGGTGATGGCGATGGTCGGAATTTCGTGAAATCCTCCAGTGTGTGCCAAGCTGTCCAATCGATACGCGTGACCGGGCCGAGCATTGTTCCGGGGCGCTCGGAGCTTCCCGCCGCGTCGCCGCCAGCTCCACCGAAGTGGCCTGGGAAGCTCGAACATCATTGTCCCCAGCATCACAAACACCACCCCAAACATGTCCATTCAGCCACTGATCACCTTCAAGGCCGGCCAGTGCGAGCTCACGGTAAGCTGGATGAAGTTATTTCAATCACATTACCTGTACTAATCGCACATTCAGCGCCGAGATGGCAACCAGCAGACGGTCAAGCCAATCCCGACACCTGGTTACGTCTACCTTTACCAGGGAGAAGATGGTTTGTGCGCAGCTACCTCACCCCATGCATCAGACTGACGATGCCAGAATTCGTGCACTTTTGTTGGCGACCCCGCGACAGGCCCCTCGACCAGTCCGAGCTTGACCTCATCATGATCCCCGGCGACGGCTCCTTCCTCCCATACACTGGCAAAGAGTCAGCAGAGGACTCGGACAATCTCAGATCACCTACCGATGGCCGCATCTACGTTCTCAAGTTCTCGTCCAGTTCACAGCGCTACCTCTTCTGGTTACAATCCAAGTCGGAACACCCACGTGGTGCCGCATGGTTCAGCGAGCGTGATCAAAAGATTGGTCAAATCGTTGACCTGCTACTGACAGGCGAGGAAATCGATGTGCAGGCTGAACTTGCCGGTCTCTCCGACCCACACGGCGGCAACGACGAAGACGAGACGATGGAAGACGTAGACCATTCATCTAGCCGAAACCGCCACGGTAGCACCGGAGGCGCTGGAGCGGATGCTACCGGTGGAGATATCCGAGAGGAGGGTGAAGAGTCCCGTGAAGGAGGTGCTGACGGCGGCAGAGCGTAGGTTCCGTCTACTTGTAATTATATGCGGCGTCGTGGCGTAGTGGAATCACTGAAAGCAACCGAAACTACTGTGGAAGACTATGCTGGAGTCCCAATGTAGAAAAAAAAACTCGAAAGGACATTCTGTCACGATACGGCGTTTGGGAAGAAGCATAAGCCCAACCAAGAACATGGGATATTGGCACTGGCTGCTCATGTACAACAATAGAAAAATAAGCATCATGCTACGTCTTTCACCAGCTACGCCACGGCGCCCGCTCTCTTTTCTCTACTGAATCTTAGTATTCTCAGACACTGAGCTAATATTTCGACAGAGCCGCGTCAGGCGATGTCTCAGCAATTGTCTCCAACTTCATGGACTCGCTCAAAGGCAGCAACATGGGCGGCGGCAGCAGCTCGCGCCAACAAGGTTCCGGCGCACCCTTCACCACGCTCCTCGATCTTCTCTGGCCCTCGCACACCGTCCCCACCGTTCAAAACGCATCAGATGACATCATCGACGCTCTCTGCGCCCAACTCCCCACCACGCCATTCCTCCTCGAAGCCGAAGTCGAAGACGTCGAACAAATCGATCCAAACTCTGAGACCGCCCAAATGGCTATCCAGACGCTGAGCCGCGAGGAGAAAATCGACGTTCTCACCAGGATTCTGCGCGCACCACAATTAAGGGCTGCGCTGGGTAGTCTGACTGAAGCGCTCAAGACGGGTGCGTTGCCGACGGTTAGTCAAGCCCTGAAAGTTGATGTTGAGAACGGGGGTTACATGAGGGGTGGCGCTATGCCACTAGGTGGCGGAGATGCGGTCAAGGCGTTTTTGGATGGTGTGAAGAAGACGGTGGAGAAGGAGAAGAAGAAGGGTGGTGATGAGATGGATACGAGCTAGATGTTGCCCGTATAGATGTAGTGGTGGTAGAGAGGGTTCGATACGACTTCACGCTGTATGATGACTACACATGACTTATGGTAGATATTAGAAGAATGAGATCGGCATGTCACTCAGTGCTTGGGGAGATTACACCAATATCTTGTTTTCTCTTCATGCGTGGTCTTGTGAGGATGTCTGATTTACGACATTGACTCCCATTTTTGATGCTGTGACAAAGTACTAGGTTCGTACAAGAAAAAAGTATGCACACTCGTCAATCGTGACACGAATGTAGCACAAATGATTTTGTGAATGGTGCAGAGGAAAACCTGGAGAAATTCGTAACACATGACGGATGACTCGATCAGATAAGAAATGCGAAGGGTGCTTAGGAGTCATCAACCCAAATAACGAATTAGGAAAATGCGAAAGTTGTGGTGACAGTGACACGACATGATGACAAGCTGCTAAATTTCCGTTCACTGAATTCCAGAAAGCACACCTACACAAGGAAAAGTTTTGGACCAAGACATAGACATTTGACAATCATGCCTACGATCATATCGAACATTGTAAACTTGAAAATGGCTAGTGCAACGACAACCCCCTTCCCCATGACGTAAACACCGTGCCATCAAACTCCATGCCACCAAATGCTCAAACAAACAGAAAAGGACGCCACAAACACTCGAACTAATATCGCTCCACTAGTAGCTTCGTCCGAACAAGATCCACTGCTTGGCAGGAGTCGTGCAGGTGGGGTTGATGCACTTGGTCTTGCCAGGCTCAATACCCTCGGGCTGGTCGAAAGGAATGCACAAACTCTTTGCGCCCATGGCAGGAGCTTGCTTGTCCTCAGCGACACCATCACCCAACGCCGTCCTGGCACTCTTGGCCTTGACCTCGTCCTCGCACTTGTCACCCTCACAGTGAGGAACGAGAACAACATTCTTGGCATTAAGAGTGGGAACGAAGTCGTCCCAGTTGGTGAGCTGTACGCGGTGGCTGCGGAAGGTCTTGTCAGCCTTTTCGAACATATCGTTTTGGATCTGCTCGAGAAGCTTGGGGACTTCTTGTGTAAGGTCATCGACGTTGATGGTACCACGTGCAGCATCCTTGTCGTCAATGTCGCGGCGCGAGGTGGTGACAACGCCCTTCTCAGCATCCTTGGGGCCGAACTCAATTCGCAGAGGGATACCCTTGAGCTCCCAGTCGTTGAACTTCCAGCCAGGGGAGTAGCCTTCACGGTAGTCGGTCTCAACACGAACGCCTGCGTCTTTCAAGTCGTCTGAGATCTTCTTGACCTTGCTGTAAAGGCTCTCCTTGTCTTCGGCGGACATCCTGCTAACGTTAGTTACATGTTTCTAAGGACGCGCGGATAAAACATACTTGGCTGTAACACCGACAGGAATGACGACAACCTGGATTTCAGCCACCCGGGGAGGGATGACCAAACCCCGGTTGTCACCATGAGTCAGAATCATGACACCGATTGATCGGGTAGTCAGACCCCATGAGTTTTGCCAGACGTGGACGTGCTCTGACTTGCCAGACTCCTTGGCATGAGGATCCTCGACTGTAATATTGAACATCTTTGAGAAATGCTGTCCTAGGCAATGGGAGGTTGCAGCCTGGATACCACGGCCTGTTGCAGGAATGAAACCCTCGATAGTTGTGGTATAGTCGGCTCCAGGAAACTTCTCGTTGACGGTCTTGGTACCCTTGACAACAGGAACGGCGAGCAAGTTTTGGTAGACGTCGGAGTACCAGTCCAAGATTTGCAGAACCTCTGCGCCAGCCTCTTCTTTTGTAAGATGCGCAGTGTGACCTTCCTGCCAGAGGAACTCGCGTGATCGGATGAAAGGCATAGGGTCTAGAGGGATATTAGATAGAAAATCAATGACAGTATTTCCAAGGACATACGCTTGAACTCCCACCGAACGACGTTGTTCCATTGGTTAAGCTTTAGGGGCAGATCGCGATGGGACTGGATCTTGCGAGCGAAGTAAGGGTACATGGCGGTCTCGGAGGTAGGGCGCACAGCGACAGGCTTCTCAAGGTCAGACTTGCCACCTTTTGTGACCCAGGCAACTTCGGCAGCAAAACCCTCAACGTGCTCCTTCTCTCTCTCCAAGTTGTCTGCGCTGATGAAGATTGGGAAGTAGGCGTTCCTGACTTTGAGAGTCTTGATCTGCGCGTCGAACCAGGACTTGATGTTCTCCCAGATGGCATACGAGGAGGGTTCGAGAATGTAGCATCCGGCAACATCGTAGTATGAGATCATCTGACCCTTGGTAATGACCTGCTGGTACCATTCTCCAAGGTCAACCTCTTTTGCGACATCGATACCGATGAGCGCTGATCCCTCAATCTGTTGCAGTGTCAACATGGCGAAAACTCCAAGCACAGCTCCAATCGGGGGAGCGAACCTTCTTCTTTTGTTGCTGAGGCTTCTTAGCAGCCTTTTGGGGGTTGCCGTCCTTCTTGCTCTTCTTGGTCTCAGAAATGGAAAGATCTTTCATCTGACCGTCGGCTGCCGTAGCTTCAGCCATACTGGGTCTGTTGTAGGCGGCGAATGTTAGCACAATCAAAGGTACAGATAACGCAGTAGCAATCTCTGCAATAGATTCAAGCTTCCAGGAAAAGGGTGTATAGTGGTGGTTGCTCAGATAGCCCGTATTTGGCAAGTGTAGGAAGTGTTATAGGGGATGTTGGCGGGGCAGGGCGGGGTATCTGACGCGACTTGAGAACGCTTACATGCAATTGAGGGACAAAGAGGATATTTTATAGGTGATTTAGACGTGTCAGAAGGGAGATGCGTCACAGCTACAGTCAAGGAGCTTGAGCAGGTGAAAAGGGCGGTCTTGGGCGCAGGCTCGTGTGAGGGCAGCGTCCAATGTGTGGAGGGGCCGAGTCATCGGCGCAAGGGTCCACTTTAGCGCGACTGGCACAGCGGCGGAGCTACAATTCGCCGACGCGGGCGGCGGGCATGCTGGAGATTTTCTGGACCGCGTAGAGGCAGCAAACAACACAGCGACACAGCTTGGAATACGACGACATGGCAGGAATCTTCGAGCAGTCACGCAGCGGGGGCACTCTGTGTAAGCTTGGCCAGCTCTGGTAGCGGAGAACAGGAACATAGACTAACTGGCAAAACAGTCCTTGGAGGCCAGAAAATCAGCGGCCAGGACATTCGCGACCAGAACGTCCTTGCAACAACAGCCATTGCCAATGTCGTCAAGTCGTCCTTTGGGCCTTCGGGTCTCGACAAGATGATGGTCGACGACATTGGCGATGTCACAGTCACCAACGACGGCGCCACCATCCTCAGTCTGCTCGATATCGAGCACCCCGCAGGCAAAATCCTCGTCGACCTCGCACAGCAGCAGGACAAGGAGGTTGGAGATGGCACAACTTCGGTCGTCATAATAGCAGCTGAGCTGCTGCGGAGAGCCAACGAGCTCATGAAGAACAAGATTCACCCCACCACAATCATTACAGGCTACCGGTTGGCTCTGAGGGAGGCTGTCAAGTATATGAACGAGAACATTAGCACAAAGGTTGATGCTCTGGGCCGGGACTCGCTGGTCAACATTGCAAAGACATCCATGTCCAGCAAGATCATTGGCTCCGACTCTGACTTCTTCGCCAACATGGTCGTAGACGCCATGACCGCTGTCAAGATGACAAACAACAAGAACGAGGTCAAATACCCGGTAAAGGCTGTCAACATCCTCAAGGCACATGGTCAAAGCGCTACCCAGTCGATACTCGTCAAAGGCTATGCCCTCAACTGCACAGTCGCCTCGCAAGCTATGAAGACACGCATCACCGACGCCAAGATTGCCTGTCTAGATATCAACCTGCAGAAGGAGCGAATGAAGCTGGGCGTACACATCACCATTGACGATCCGGAACAGCTGGAGAAGATCCGCGAGCGCGAGGCTGGCATTGTTACTGAACGTATTGAAATGATCCTGAAGGCCGGTGCCAACGTCATCTTGACCACAAAGGGAATCGATGACCTCTGCCTAAAGCACTTTGTCGAAAAGGGCGCCATGGCGGTGCGAAGGTGTAAGAAGGAAGATCTACGAAGGATAGCAAAGGCCACTGGAGCTACCCTAGTCAGCACACTCTCCGACTTGAACGGCGATGAGAAGTTTGAGGCAGCCAACTTGGGTTACGCAGAGGAGGTATCACAAGAGCGCATCTCAGACGACGAGTGTATCCTTGTCAAGGGCACCAAGGCTTTCTCCTCTGCATCCATCATCCTGCGAGGAGCAAATGACTATGCCCTTGATGAGATGGAGCGATCAGTACACGACTCGTTGTCTGCCGTCAAGCGCACGCTGGAGAGTGGACGTATTGTCCCAGGTGGTGGCGCCGTTGAGACTGCGCTGCACATCTACCTGGAAGAGTGGGCAACGTCAGTGGTAAGTTAATTCCAACCTTCTTTTACAGTATTCCATTGCTAATCATATATGCAGGGCTCTCGTGAGCAACTTGCGATAGCTGCCTTTGCACAGTCTCTACTCGCCATCCCAAAGACTCTGGCAATCAACGCAGCCAAAGATGCCACTGAGCTTGTTGCTAACCTACGATCGCGACATGCTCTTTCACAACGTACAGTCAACCCAGCTGACCCCTCATCGCAAGATGCCAAGCAGCTTGCAAAGTCCAAGAACTACAAGAACTACGGTTTGGATCTTACCAACGGCAAGGTACACGACACCCTCAAGGCTGGTGTGCTGGAACCCAGCATGAGCAAAGTCAAGCAGTTGAAGTCGGCAGTGGAGGCGTGTGTTGCTATTATGCGAATCGATACCCTGATCAAGCTGGATCCGGAAGAGCAAGGTGGCGGTGACGATGGGCATGGACATTAAAATCGCGTAAAGTTTATGCGGAAAAGAGATAGTCCAGAAAAGATAACGACAGCGTAATGAAAGGCTTCGACATGCCCACGTGCACAACCACAACCCTCGTTACGCCGTGCATACAGAATCAACCTTGACTAACTT